CTTGAGCCCAGGAGTTGGAGGTTGCTGTGAGCTATGCCACGGCACTCTACCCAGGGGGACAGCTTGAGGCTCTGTCTCAAAATAAAATAAAATAAAAAAGTTATGCAACAGAACAGAGTAAAGAAAAATAAACCATCGCCTTTTTGTAGGAAAATTAAACTGTTAGCCTTTTTCATAACATATCATAAAGCTGTATTTTTCTGATAAGAATGAGATTATACTGTAAATATAATTTTGGTATCTAGTTTTTCTCTCTTGTAATTACAGTGAATTTTCTGTGCCATACATTGATTTTTTTTTTTTTTTTGAGATAGAGTGTCTCCCTTGTCCAGGTTAGAATGCTGTGGTGTCATCATAGCTTCCTAGAATTTGTCTCTTTGATTAGTGAACAAGGATTTTTTTGCACTAATCATGCATTAGTCCATTTTGTCTAGTATTACTGTTGCTACACTAGCTTTCTTAAAATTAGAATTTGCCTACCACATCTTGTTCTTCATACTCCCAGCCTTTCAGGTTGCCATGGTTTATTTTTACTCCCTGGAAACAATACATTGCTCAGTTTTAGTGTTAATGTGAGCAACTCTTTCTTTTCACAAGTAAGTTTGATCTCTTTCATTTGTTGAGGTTTCTGTTAGATTTGAACTTGCTCCCACCATATTCTTTTGCATTTTTACATTTCCTGTGTCTTTCTGTGTTCCACTGGGCTGATAAAGCTTTTCGTTTGTGTTTTGTTTTAATCTTCTTTTTTTCTGGTTTTGAAGTTATACATTCCATTTACATTCTTTAGTGACTACCTTTACATTTTTAACACACAAACTGGATTTTTGTTTAAAAATCTGAAGTCAATTAGAATTTCTGCTCCATCCAGACAACTTAAGGATCTCAGAGCACCTTAACTGTATCACAGTGTTCCATGTTATTATTGTCTGTAGTCTAGTATTTTAATTCTATCTGATTTCAAAACCCTGCAATGATGATGTATTTTTAACTTTGCAATACAGTGCTTACTTAGATTGACTATTGTGCTGATTGGGCCCTTGTCATGGGGGCTCCCCTGCGCTCACTTTCCTTCTTTCTGAACTGTGTCCTTTAGTAGTTCTGTCTACAAGGCCTCTCTCTGGGAAACTATCCCAGCCTTTCCCTCAAAATACCTCCCCTCTCCCCAGTACTTTTGAACAATGGTATAGCTGGGTGCCTGGGCTGGGAAAAAAGGCCAATTCCATTGTATTTCCTTACATGGAGCATTATGTGTTTAAGGAAAAGTATGAAAGTATCCATTTGAAAGGTAAAAATGGCCTTTCATTTTAATTTGCTTTAATTTTTCATAATCAGCATGATAGTCGTTTTTTTCAGGGTGTTGGCCATTCGAATTTCTTGTCTGTCCTTGACCTGTTGTTGAGGTGTTAGCCTTCTAGTCCCCACCACATTGTATTGATTTAAAGCTATGAGTCATTTGTTGAATTTGTTGTAAATGTTTTTTCCCAGGTGTACTGTATGTCTAATATCTTAAGAGAAATGGGTCTGGGACTTGCCAGGAGAAGAGGGTCCTTTAGGGAGACACGTCATGCTGTGTCCCTGGTGACCACTCTACTGGCTGGGCCATCTCCACAGAATCCAGTCTCCTGCTGTTACAGGAGAATCCCTGCTTAGTAGAGCTGCTGTCTCATGTGCTGAAACTCCCAGATGTGAGTCCCGGAGTCCTCGCCTTCTCACTCCGCCTTGCAGGGATATTTGCAGCACAGGAAAACTGCTTCCAGTATCTTCAGGTGAGCTAGGTTCTCCCTGTGAGTGTCCCACTAAGAGGTGGGTGGCTTTTTCCTTCAGATCCTTAAAGCATTTCCAGCTGTCATGATCCCCAACTCCCAGAGACTCCCATTGCCCCTGTACTTGACTAGCACTGAAAATTTTTTACTCCCACATATAACCCCTTTGAAATACTCATCAGGGGCTCGGCGCCTGTGGCTCAAGCGGCTAAGGCGCCAGCCACATACACCTAAGGTGGCGGGTTCGAATCCCCAGCCCCGGCTCGCCAAACAACAATGATGGCTGCAACTAAAAAATGGCCGAGCGTTGTGGCGGGTGCCTGTGTTCCCAGCTAATTGGGAGGCTGAGGCAGGAGACTTGCTTGAGCCCAGGAGTTGGAGGTTGCTATGAGCTGTGATGCCATGGCCCTCTACCCAGGGGGATAGCTCGAGGCTCCGTCTCAAAAAAAAAAAAAAAAAAAAGAAAGAAAGACTCATCAGGAATGATGTTGGGGCTAAGGAGTGAATTGTTTTGGAATAATTCAGAACTGAGATTGTTAGCTCTGACCTGCTGTAGAGCTGCTGTAGGATTTGGTACAAGTTTCTGATCCTCAGTTTCTTCCTGTCACAGAGATAAGAATTGTACCTGTCTCGTGGGGCTGTTGTGAGCCTTAAATGAGACTGCAGATCTGTGCCTAGAGTCACCCATCTTTGTGAAGTTATGAGTGACGCATGAGATTTCTACATAGCAACAAAGCATGAGAGCTTAGGAAACTTCCCAGAACTGTGTGTCTCACAACCTTGAGCACCCCTAGATGGGCACAGCTGGGTTTGTTAGGTAATGCCAATGTGAGCATGTGTGGCCCCTGCCAGTCTATAATGATGGTTTCTCTCATCACCTCACAGACCTTTGCTACCTCCTCTGGTCCCTGTGCTATGTTGGAGTCACTTGGAAAGGACAGTGGTGAGGAGGGACATTGGTTGCCATCTATGAGTGCCCCCCAGTTCAGCAACTGCTGACTGCCCTGGAGCCCTGCCAAGGACCATCTTGCTGTGGGACAGACCTTATGAGATGTCCTGGAGCCCCTCTGTATGATGCAGTGTGTCCCAGGGCATGGCTTGGAGCTTCCTGTCCTCGCCTATAATCGTGTATCCGCATAGGGCTTGGCAGTTTATAAAGTACTTTAGAGTTTGTAACTTCACTTTCGTGTTAGCTTAGGAGGCCAGGCCAAGAAGCAGATCAGAGGTCTTCATGTCCATTTTCTAGATAAGAAAACAAAGGCTCAATATGAGAATTCCACAGAACTGGTGGAGCTCATACTCAATCCTAAATAGTCCAGTTACTCTTGCAGTCTGTTCTATCACCTGTCCTGAAAATGAATTTTCAATCACAAGTAAATGGCTTTTCCCAGCCTCAGCCATTCCCTGGAATATGGGGTATTTATCTGCCTCCTCATTCTCTCCTTTCCAATGCAGGCTGTGGCTTTAAGGCCTGAATGGCCATCACCTAACTCCATTATCTGAGAGGTGGTCCCCTGTATCCAGGGACAAGGGACACAGAACACTGCAGGGCCAGCCTGCTCTCCTTTCTCCCAGGCCTATGGCCCTGGACTATTCTCCTGCTCCCTTTCCACCCACCCCCTGCATAGACATCTAGGGGTATGGCAGCTGCTCATCACAGGCCCACCTGCAGGGGTCAGTATCTGGGCATGGGACATGCACATGGTCACTGGAAATGGGCCAGACTTTTATACCCTCCATTGGCCGTGAGTTTGCCCTGGCTATAAGCAACTTTGAGAAAGGGGCTCTCCTGTTAGCGCTGCCTAGCAGCACCCCTTCAGCTGCGGATGGGCACACAAGTGATTGTGTAGTGGTGAGCTGGGCACTAGGCTTGAGTTAAATTTAGAGAAAAATAGTAAGAGGGGAAGAGTGGGCAGCCCCTGTGTTGCTGTAAGGAGTTAGAAGTAGCAGCTTCATCTCCAAGGGCTCTTCTACTGGCACCTACAATTGACTGAAGGGTTTCCTGTCCTTTTAGGGTAGGCAGCAGCTGAAAAGAAGCCTGACACCTGGCCTGGGCCAACCCTGAGCACTGTTTCCAGGGTTGAGACTTCAGGCTCAGGAACTCACTGTGCCAGGGTAGGTCTTCAGCCAGGAAAAGTCAGAACTGGAGTTATTACCACCCTGTTGAAATCTAGGGTGAAGTGGGAATCTCATATACATGGATTTATTGTGCCAAGGAAGGTCTGTAGCAGGTGGGGGTTCTATGGGGACATGGTCAGCTTCACAGAGGAATGGGTGCAGGGGTGGCAGGTGCTGGGGTATAGGGTTGACTCATGGGTGTACTAAGTCTAAAACGTTGGTGTGTAGGTGCCTGGGTGAGGAAGGCGAGTGCCCTGACCATGAACACAAGTTCCAGGGTCAAGGAGAACTCTTGGGGTTCTTAGCCCCAAAGGTCATAGTCAGTCCGTGAAGGTGCAGCTGGTAGTGCCATTTGGGGAGACAGTGTTTCTCAAGTGTTCAGTAATGAAAGTAATGGAATCAGTTCTTCTTTTTCCCGAAGGCCCCCTGCCCATGAAGGCAGAGCAAGCCATGCAGTGGCTCCTACACTGTGGGGCTCTCATTTCTGTATCAGCAGCCGGTATGAACATGTCCCCCCAAAGTGCCCTGACCAGCCCTGAGAAATAGCCTACCTATGATCCACCCAGGTTCCCACCTCCTTCCTTGCTTCCCAGCAGGGGGAGTTGCTTACCGGGTTCTTTGGGGTGGCAAGACCCCTAGGCCAAGCAGCCTGGGCCATCCCCACCATTCGCAGTGGCTGGATACAGGGTCTGCACTCTCTGGCACAGCACCCCAGTGCCCTGTGCTTCCTGGCTGACCATGGTGAGTGCACCTACCCCACCCTGCCTGATATGCGGGTCCCCTGCTGTCCCTGCACCATTAGAGCCTGGTCTTCTCATCCATAAGTGTCCCAGGGCTGTCATGAACAGGTGTCATGGTGAACATGTGGTGACAGCAGACACCAGGGGTATTGGCATTCTGTGGCTCAGAGGTCAGGCCTGAGGAGCTGGGGTGGCCTGTCAGTCAGTTACAAATAAGCTGTCAGAGTCAGTCCTTGAGACTGATTGGGGAGAATCACAAGCTTCCTGGGCTTAAGGCCTGGTGAGAGGAGGTGGTCATTTTCCAGGAACTTTACTCCCATTTTGGAGAGGGGTATCTGGGGGTCATGCTAGTGCCCTGTTCAGGCTCTTTGCAAAAGGCTGTGACATTCCACCACTCTACTTCACTGACCACCTTCTGCTCTCTTCCCCTGTCCCCTGCCCAGGTGCTGTCGACATCATCTTCTCCCTGCAGGGAGACACCAGCCTGTTTGTGGCCTCGGCCGCTGGTCAGCTCCTGGTACATGTCCTGGCTCTGTTGATGGAAGGCAGGGCCGAGGGACACCCCTGCCCTCAGGGTGATGACTGGCCCACCTGTGCCCAGAAGATTGTGCATCACATCGAAGAGTCCTTGTGCTCCACAGACCCCTCGAAGGTCACTCAGGCCCTCAATGTCCTGACCACCACCTTCGGGCGCTGCCAAAGCCCCTGGACAAAAATCCTCTGGGAGCAGCTGAGTCCCCTCGTGGCCTCTCTACTGGAGAAAGATCCTGTCTCAGCCCCACATTCCCTCGTGGACCTGCTCCTCTGTGTGGCCCGGTCAGTCCCCAGGGCGCAGCTGGTGGAGCCTGGGGTAGGACCCATGTTTTCTTCAGGATGACCCAGATCAGTGTCACACTTGGGTGGGCAACTAGGGACAGAGATCCCTCTCCTCTAAAGAATACTGCCTGACTAAGGGGACACCTAGGGAAGGCCTTTGTTTTGGGCTGGGTATTAACTGGTCCTTGAATGGACTTTGGGAGGCAGGGGAATGATTTTCTCTCTTTGGGGTCCTTTGCAGTTCTCCTGTGCTTGGCTCTTTGGACCTCAGGCTGTGGGAGACAGCAGCACGGGCTCTGAGCTGCCTGGGCCCTACCCAAGCAGGGCCTCTGGCGTTGGGGGTCCTGAAACTCCAGCACTGGTATGAGTTGGGGTGTGTTCCGTGCTGACGGGGTGCTGGGGGCAGAGGAAAGCAGAGAGGTCCAGGGGATGGCCCTTACGGCCAGGGAACTTTAGGGAAGCTCCCAACACCAGCAGCCAGGGGCAGCCACATGGGGCATGACCAGACAGTGATGTAGGCTGTTGGCTTCTACACCTCTTTAGTGACAGAATAATTGTCTCAAAGGAAAGCTCCACAGGATCCCCAGAGATGAAAATACACTGGTGGAGCTGTGGCCCCTTCAAGCCCAAGAACTCTGTGGCTTTCTTACCCTCCCCAGTGGCCTCAGTGGGTGGCCTGTGGAGCTCTGCAGCATGCCCACCATAGTGCAGGTCTGGGGGGCCATGGAACCACAGAGCCTGGGACAGGCAGGATGGCCTGCCAGGGTCCCAAATGTGCTCTCCATCCAAAGAGGCGGGGAGTGTAATGTGAGCTCTGTGCTGCTCCAGGGGGAGGACAAGGAGGATGATGGGCGGGGCCCTGGGGGGACTACATTGCCCCGGGGTAGCCCCTGCCCCAGGCTCAAGCATAAGGGCAGGTGCTGCCTATACAATGGAAAGGAGACATCATCTTGACTGACCGGGCAGCAGCCTCTGAGGCCCCCTGAGTAGCTGTTCCTGAGCTTGATTCTACTCTCCCCACCCTCCATCCTATCAGGTCCCCTGGCCAGTGGCCTATTGAGGAGCTGTTTCTCAGGGGGGTATCCTGATTGCTTGCTTTGGCCAGTCTGTCCCAGAATGTGCCAGGGGCTTTGGAGCACAGCTCCTTGCCTTATTGTGTTTCCTCCCCAGTCCAGAGGTGCTGAGGACCCAGGCCTTTGGGGTCCTTCTCCAGCCCCTGGCCTGTGTCTTGAAGGCCACTGCTCAAGCCCCTGGGCCCCCAGGTATGCAGCTCAGAAGGGAGGGTGGGGGTTGGAACCTGCATCCCTGGGCAGTCCCAGGGGTCAGGAAAGGGAAAATGGGGGCTGCCTGGCTCACTACCCTCTGCTTAGATCACACTAGGCCTTTAAAAGCAAGAGTGGCTGGGGCATGGGCCATTTCCCCCAGTGAGCCACTGCTCTGCTGTGGGATGGTGACCATGTGGCAGTGACCCCTAGCAAGGCTGAGGTGCCCACTCTAAAGGAGCCATTCCTGGCATGGCCTGCAGGTTTGTTGGATGGGACCTCAGATGACTCTGTGATGGTGGACACTCTCCTGTCCTCCAAGTCATCCTGTGCTGGTCTCTTGTGCCGGACCCTGGCTTACCTGGAAGAGCTACAGCCACTGGTAGGTGTGGCCCCAGCTAACCCATGTCTAGGCTGGCGGGACTGTGGACTCTGCTGACCTTCCCTCCTTCCTCAGCCCCAGCGCCCCTCGCCCTGGCCCCAGGCGCCCTTGCTCAGGGCTGCAGTGACAATACTGCAGCTCTGTGATGGCTCAGCAGCCCCCACCTCCAGTATGGGGGGCCGCCTTTGTGGAACCCTGGCAGGCTGTGTCCGGGTCCAGCGGGCAGCCCTCGACTTCCTGGGAACATTGTCTGAAGGGATGGGTAAGTGTTTTCCGACTTTGGTGCTGGGGGAGCCCAAGCCCCAACTTGTCTATGCTCAAAGGCATCGGGATCTGTGGCTCCTCCATGTTTCTCCTCTAGGGTGGGCAAGTAGGGGGTTCCAGCTGGCTAATGGGCTTTATCCCACTTACCTGGGCTGGGGGTTCCTGGGGCCAGGGTTGGGGTGGTCTGTCCATTTGCATCTTTCTCAGGCTCCCAAGAGCAGGTGACACAGGTGTTTGCCATCCTACTGGAGACCCTGGGGAGCCCCGACTCCAGCCCCACGGTATGGGGACAGGGTGCATGGAGGGAAGAGGCAGTGGGTTCCCCAGACCCCCATGTGAACATCTAGTCACTATTCACAATGAGCTACAGGGCCAGTCTGTTGCGCTCGGGTTGGGGCCTGGTGTCAGTACAGAAGAGCGCGAGGGTAGAGCCTGAGGGCCGAGCCTGGCCATGTGAGGGTGAAGCAGTCCGTTCTCCCTGCAGGAAATTCTTGATGGGAGAAGTGGCTTGGAGCCAGGGAGGGCCCTGTGCTTGGGGTCTGAGTTCTTACAAGCGTTGCTTGTGAATGGACTGTCTGTGGCCATATGGTTGAGTATAGACCTAATGTGCATGCAGACAGCACAGGGATTTGGAGGAAGGACCTAGAGGGGTTTTAAGGACAAAGGTGCCATGGACAGACTGTCGAGTCTTAAGGTAGAAATCCCACTACCCCAGTGGTGGGGCCTCCTGGCAAGGGCCTATGCTCCTGCCTCCCATATAGTCCTGGTGTTTCCTCTCCCTACACTCCTGCCTTGTCTTTGTTCCAGAGTAGGGGCAGGTGGGCGTCCCGCCTCTTCTCCCCTCATAGCCCTTCCTGCTCCCCAGGTCCTAAAGAAGGCCTTCCAGGCAGCACTCAGGTGGCTGCTGAGCTCCTCCAGGACACCTGGCTGCTCTGGTCTCGGCCCACACATGGCATTGTTCTTTCCAGGTACCTGGCCACTTGCAGGAATGGAGACAGCTGGGCGCTGGGTGGGAAGGCTTGGTGGCCAAGCCTGGGAAGTCCTAAGGGCAGGGTGATTAGACTGAGACCTGAGGTCACTCTGACCCACCTCTTCCCACCCCAGAGCTATTCCCTGTGCTTCAGAAACGCTTGTGTAGCCCCTGTTGGGAAGTAAGGGACTCTGCCCTCGAGTTCCTGACCCATCTGAGCAGAAACTGGGGAGGTAAGTGCTAGGGGGAAGACAGGAACGAGGCCTCTCATCTCTTGGAGGCCTCACTCAGCCTTGGGACACCAGAGCCTTCCACTGGCCATGGGAATCCAGACCCACCAGGCTGCCCTCAGGGAGCTTGGGGTAGAGGCTGCAGGGCTCAGTCCTCAGTCACAGCTGTGTCTGTCCCCTTCAACCCTAGGACAGGCTGACTTCAAACATGTGCTCCTCACATCAGAGGTGCCTGAGCTCGCCCGGCAGCTCTTGCAAGATCCTGAGAGTTATGTCCGTGCAAGTGCAGTGACTACCATGGGGGAGCTCTCTAGCCGGGGCCTGTACACTGTCCCTGCCAACCCTGAGCACCCCGAGGACCAGGTAGGAGGCAATGGGTTCCTTGCCAGCACCCACACAAGGAAGTTGTTTGTAGTTGTATGGCTCCGCCCATCCAGCCTCTGGACACCTGCAGCACTTAAAGGGGCCAGAGCAGTGTGTGGCCCTAGACTATGTGGCTCAGGCCAGTCAGTGCTGTGCCCATGGTCCTGTCATGGTAGTCCCACCTTCTCCAGCCCCACTGACCCTCCCCACTGACTCCCTGTCTGCAGAGCCTACTCCTGGAGTTCTTGCACATCCTCTCCGTGGACTCGGAGGGCTTCCCACGGAGGGCTGTCATGCAGGTTTTCATCGAATGGCTGAGGGGCAGCCATATTGATGTGGCCCAGGACACAGAGTGGTTTATGGCCACTGTGCTGGAGACGGTGAGCCAGGACCTGGACTGGGAAGTGCGGGCCCAGGGCCTAGAGCTGGCGATGGTGTTTCTGAGCCAGATGCTGGGACCTCTGGGCCCCCACTGTCCCTACACTGTGGCCCTGCCCAAGGCATCCCCGCCTGACCTTCTCCCCAAGGTGTTGGCGGCTCTTTGCCGGGTGCGGCTCTTTGAGTTTGCCTTTCGTGCCTTGTTTGACTGTGATCGACCCGTGGCCCAGAAGTCCTGTGACCTCCTCCTCTTCCTGAAGGACAAGACTATACCTTACAGCAGCCTGTGGGAGTCAGGGAGCACCCCAAATTTGGAGTCCGTGGAGGCTGCCTTGCAGAAGTGGCAGGCGGGTGAACAGGGCCAGCCCCTGGGGGACCTGGAGCCCGAGGCTGTGCTGGCCACACTGAGGTCCATAGACCTCCAGGGCCTCAGGGACACACTGGCTGAGGGCAGTGATCATGTGGAAAAGAGCCCACAGTCCCTCCTGCGGGACATGCTGGCCATGGTGGGTGTCCTGCAGAAGAACCAGGCTGACTGCTACTGAGGCAAGACAGAGGGATGCTCCGGGGAAGCCACAAGTAGGAAACAAGCAAGATAAAAAAATCCCACATGATACATTTTGATCTATTATTAAAATAAGTGGATTATTTTCTACACAAAATAAATGGCATTAAAGTCTTTAATGCATTTGGAGTTAATTTTTATATGTGGTATAAAACAAGGGTCCAGTGTCATTGTTTTGCATGTGGATATCCAGTTTTTCCAACATATATTAAAAAGACTGCTGTTGGCTGGGCTTGGTGGCTTATGCATATAATCCTAGCACTCTGGAAGGCTGAGGCAGGAGGATTGCTTGAGGTCAGAAATTTGAGACCAGCCTAAGCAATAGCAAGACCCTGATAGAGTCAAACGTAGGGACCTGCCCAAATATAACCGTCCTGCCCAGGAAGAAATGAGTACGTGAATGTCCCACCCAGGAAAGAGTGAATGTCCCAATCCCTACTCCTCCAACCCTTTAAATTCCCACCTATCTTAACCCACATGCTGACTCCTTTTTCGGACTCTAATCACTTGCACCCGAGTGGGAATAAAGGCCACGTTGACCACACAGAACTTAGACTCTGATTTCCTTTTGTTCATGTTTCAAAATAATCTTTCATTTTCGGTCCTTGACTTCTCAGACCCCATCTCTACAAAATGTAGAAAAATGATCTAGGCATTGTGGAGCATGCCTGCAGTTCTAGCTATTCAGAAGGCTGAGGCAGGAGGATTGCTTGAGCACAGGAGCTTCATATTAGTTATGGTACTCTAGCTGCTTATCCAACATACCCTAAAATTAAAATATTTCCAAACAGGTGTCCATGGGGAAAAAGACATTTAGAAAATTACGAGCTCAGATCCAACTGGGTACTTGTGGCCATCCCCACCTGCTCCTATGTGTCTTAGGCTTTGGGCAAGTCATGGACTCTCTCAGGCCCATTTCCTGTCTCTGAGCTGGGACTATCAGTGCTGCCTTCTCAGAGTTTTAGGCACCTAGAAGCAGCTGTGGGCCTCACACAAGCATCTCTACCCCTAGGTTCCAGCGTGGAACTGGCGCACAGTGTGCAGCTGACACAGACATTACCTTATCAGTTGGCCCTGGGAGGCAGGACAGGTCTTTGGGCCCACTTCACAGATGTAAAAACTGAGGAAGTGGAGACTTACATTTCTGAGTTAGTAGGTCCTGCCATAGACTTGAAGTGGGAAACTGACTCTCATAAGCTCTGTCTCTGGCTTCCTGTGGCCTGGTTCTCAGCATTCCTGGGGAGCTCTCAGGGCATCCAGCATGTGCTGACTGCATGAAGTTGAGCAGCTGTTGGCCAGGGCTCAAGAAAGAGGGTATGTTAGTTAGCTAGTGCTGTGTAACAACCCCCAACAGGTGCTCCCACAATGCTTTATTATTTCTAAGGATCTATGGGCTAGCCAGGCAATACTGCTACTCTGGGCTGAACTTCGCAAGTCTTGACTGGCCTCACTTGTACATCCATGATCAGCTGGCAGATTGGCTGGGGACTGGTGGGTCTAGGATGGCCTCAGCCAGGGTGACTCAGGCTCCATAAGTTCTCTCATCTTCTAGCAGACCAGCCCAGGCTTGCTCTCATGCTCTAGTCTAGCAGGAAGGAGTCCAAAAGAGCAGGCAAAGCATGCATGGCCCATGAGGCCTAAGCTCAGATTGGCATGGTGTTACTTCTGTCACATTTTATTGGCCAAAGCAAGACATAAAACAGGCTCAGATTCAAGGATGCAGAAATAGACTCCACCTCTAAATGGGCGCTGGGCAAATTCACATGGCAAAGGGCACAATTGGGGAAGGATTAGAGCCATTTTTGCAGTTGATCCAGAGATCAATTGATCCAGAGATCGCACATAGATCTACTGTGCCCCATGGATCCAGCCTCCAGCCTGGGATGGGGCCTTCGGTTGGGCTGTGGTGGTAGTAGTTCAGTCTCATGGCTTGATGGTGAGCTCTTTGTGAGCCCACATCTTAGACAGCTTGTAGCCCCAGCTGCCAGTACAGAGTGGCTTTCCTGGAAGGTTTGTTGAATGACTAAATGACCGAAGCCAGATCCTAAACCAGGGAGCTCAGAGCCTCCTCAGCGTGCAAGCCTAGTTTGGGGTGGGGCATCTCAACTTGTGTGAGCCCCCTGTGCCTGCCAGAAGCCTGAAGACACAAAGACCTCCTGCCTCACCCCCTCCATGGGGACCCTTTTCCCACACGCCTCAGTTCCTGTCAGAGCCAAGATGTGTCGCCATAGAAACCACTTGGCACATGCTGGCAGGCAGAGGCAGCCAACAGCAGCTTGCCTTATCTAGCTCGGGGGGGCCTGTTGGGGGGATGTCGCGGGCCAGCATGAGCAAACTTCCCAGCTGTGTGTGACGCGAGTGTGGGGGGAAGACCCAGGTTCATGCAGGCGGGCAAAGGGTTAGGTCAGGGTGCCTGGGTGTGCACATGTAGGCGTATGGGTGTGTGTGTGTGCAGATGGAAGGAGCCATGTGGAGTGTGTGTGTGCGCAGTATGATGACCACGTGGGTAGGTGCTGGGTGTGTGTGGGTAGGGGATGTGCCAACAGTGCTGTGACGTGGGTCGAGCGTTCCCCAAGAGCCAGACCTGGCAGCAGGAGCTAATGGACTGAGACAGAGGTGGCTGCTGCCCCTGCCCCTGCTCTGTGAAGAAGCTGCTGAGCAGGTACTTGTAAGTATCAGGGACATGCATGACAGGTGGGCTTCTGGGAAGAAGCAGCTGGGGGCACTACAGCCGAGGGTGGAGTGGGAAAGTCCAGGCAGAGGCAAGGGACAAGATCCAGGCAGAAGGCATAGCCAGGCAGGGGCCCAGAGACTGGCAAGGAAGGAATGAGGCCACAGAGGATGTTTAAGCAGTGACCGAGGTCTGGCCAGAGCGGGTGTGGTGCTGAGAGGGGTGGGGGCTTCACCTCCAGCTCAGAAGACCCAAGTGAGGATGAGGGGTATCAAAAGAGGAGGGCACCTCTGAAGAAGGGGTCTGCAGGTGGGAAGGGGGGTGCGTGGTGGGGACAGACACAGCTGAGGGGATGTAGCTGACAGCTGGGCAGGGTGAGACATGGTCTTTGAAAGGCTTATTGTTGGGGGCATGCAGATTGGGAGCGGCCTTCTGAGTCTGCTGGGGGCAGATGGCCTGAGCCTGGGGGCAGCCAGAAGATACTGTGGAGGTTGACTAGATGCTCCTTAGTGATGGTGGGTGCCTGGGGGAGGGCCCTAGAGGATACTATTTTCTGGGGTGGGGACCCCTAAGGGAGAATGTTGGGTTCACCAGGCAGCCCATTCTGGAGCTTCCAGAGCAGGTCCTCTGCACTCTAGGTGCTGCCTGAACCCCTGCAGGCTTCCCCTGCCCTCCCAAGCTGGGTAGGTGAGAGACAACCCAGCCCCTACAGGACTTTCCTGGGCACTTGTGGGAACCCAGGGCCTCTGGAATGAGCCTGGCACATCCTTGGCACCGTGGCTGGCTCTTAACTGCATGCCATCTCTGAGTCTGGGTGGCTGTGGGTGCCCAGGAGGAGGGGCCTTTCTTGTTTCTATACCCCACAGCTCTGGTGTGTGGCACTCGGAGGTGCATCCAAGACCCCTCCCCCAGGTTGCCCTCCACCTCTGAGGCTCTGCTGCCTGGATGAAACTGCTAGACTGTGGGTCTGAGGCCTCATGCTGGCTGCAAAGTGGGGACTACCCAGGTGTGGCCAGGAGTCTGCTCCCAAGTACATGTTCCCAATGGACTCTGGGTCTTCCCAGGCCTCCCTCGCTGGCTGAGCAGGGGAGTAGGATGAAATCAGGGCAATGGGTCTTTCCTGGGAAAGCATATTCCAGATCCCTGGCATGGCCTCAGTGGACACTCTGTGGCCCAACCACCAAACCCAAGAGACCCTATAAGCAACAAAGATGAGCTGATTGATGTGAGCCAGGCAGGGTTGCCATGGGGTCAGAACCCTTCAAGGGCACTGAGCACCAACTGTTTGCATTCCTGTCTGCAGACACCCTCCTTGTGACCAATCTTTCAGGGGCTGGAGGTGTCACCAATGGGCAGGAGGTTGCTCAGGCCTCATGTTGTCCCAGCCTGGCCTGGCTGTGTGTGCCCTATTGCAGGCACAGAGGACAGTGATTGTCCCTGTGATCGTCATTGTTCGGGTTTAAATGCAGAGGCCATGGGAACATTATACACACCCCAGAGTCCAGATGAGCCCTGACAGGGACAGACACTGCATAATGTGGGGTCCCTGTTCAGGAGAACCATTTGCTCCAACAAAGTGCCACGTGCCTGGCAGGTTATCTTCTTCTATTTAAGAAGCAACATGCAGGGACTCTCCCTGGTACTCTGACCTCACAAAACCACAAGAGGGTAGGAGAGCAGTGTATAGGAGGGAGATGCTGACAGAGAGGGGAACAGACAGACAGAAATACTAACTCAGAAGGGGAGATAGCAGACACAGTCAGAGAGATAAACAAAGAGAGATGGACAGAGTGCCTCTCCTGGGTGCCCATCAGCCTTGGCTGAGCCTGTGGGGACCCCAGACAATGGGAGGAGCCTTCACTGTATGCACATTGGTGGGTATATCTTTGTACTGACACTCCCCCTGCCAGCTACCCTGGCTTTTCTGTGGAGGGAACAGGGCTTTCAGAGCTGGACCCAGAGTGAATACTAATCCTGCCACTCAAAGAGCAGCTGAGCAGTGAGGCTGGGCCTGGGCCAGGGACACTGAGCCTGTCCAGGCGTTCCACTTGCTCTGCTTTCTCACTATAGGCTGCTGCTCCTTGAGCTCAGGGCCTTCTGTTCTCCCCTCAGGCCTGAGCAAGCCCTCAGCTGCCCCAGAACAGGGGTGGGGGGCTGGAGCTGCAGGAGTTGGGGCCCTGGTGCCCAGTATGGACTGACATTGGGTGGGCCCTCAGCACATGGCCCTTGAGAAATGGCTGCCTGGGAAGTATCTGGCAGATGGCAGGGTCCTTAGTGTTAGCTACATTTGGCCTTTCTACACTGGTGAGGATGCAACTCCAGGGCCAGCTGCTCCAACTGCTGAGATAGGGAAACTGAGGCCAAAGCAGACCTTAAGACTGGCAGGTGGCTGGGGGCCTGCTCTGTACCCCTGCTGGGGATAGGCCTCAACCCCACCACTTCC